TCTCCATACACTCCTTTGGTATATGTTGCCGATGTGACGTGTCGATTCCAAGATGTCTATAATAGTAGTGTAAGAGCCATTGTAGGCCCAAAGGCCGTTGTGATACATCATTTGCAAGAGGATGAGTACGCAATTCTAATGGATAGGTTTGGAGATGGTACAACGTACAGACCCAAAATGCGGTTTTTGCCAAAGCCGAATCAAATCAAATTTCTCTGTTAAAAGTTTTAACAAATTATTATTTAGTGAATATTATGATATCTTTGGTTTTTCTATGTAATTGTAAGCTGTTGCTATTGTTGCTCTGCTGTGAGTGTGTGTATGGGTCACTGCATCCCCTTGTATACTTTCCTCTCTTTGCTCTTCTGAGGGATATGCTGAACTTTGTCAGTATTTACTTCATATATATTCTCACTTTTGTAAAATATTCTATGTGTTTTAATTTGATTCCTAATAATTTGACGTGATCTGTCAGTATCCATCTTGTTTTTTTTTTGTGTTTTTTTTCTCTGTGTGTGTGTTTTACTCGATGTGGGTAAGTTACACTATTCTTCTTGGGTTTTGTGAAAATTTGCATGGTTATTCGTTTTTTGTTTTTTTTGTTTGCCTCTTTGCATGTTGTGTCTTCTTAATCTAAAATATGGCATGATGTTTTTATTCTTTCTCTTTGTTTCTCTATTAATATATACGATATCTCGTTCTTTTCTGGGTGTTATGAAAACCATGTATACAAGGAACAGTTATACCCTTATATTTTTATTACCTTAGGCAATGACCAGTGTAAATCTTCTTGATGTGCTGATGGTATGTGTGCGTGGGGCCCTGGCGGCGCAGCGCTACATTGCACTGCAACNATATGGATCACTGCACCCCCTTGTATACATCCATCTCTTTGCTGTGTTGGCACTGCAACCCTGGAGTGTCTACCATCATACCTTCAACGGTACTGCACAGCAACTGACTCTTTGACTACTTTGAAGACTTCACACGTACCTCTACTGTGTGCACACCCCTTGTATACATCCTCATCCCTCTCTCTTCACTCCTCACCCGTAGTGACATAGAGTGAACATGGCACTTAAGGCACCAAGGAGAACCGTCATTCACGGTACACTCCTGCTGTTTTTGTT